TCGGATTAAAGTCATTTTCAACGGCCAAGATGATGCACAGAATACGAAGCGGTGGAGAGAGAGTGTTATCTTTTGAATTTTGAAATTTAAAAAGATTCAGACTTATCTAATGAAATCAAAATTTGCGTAAACGAGTCGTATTACAAGTCGAGGTAACAAGTGGATGCAACCCGAGGTAGCAACTGATGACGGGACACATAAAAAGATTCGAGGAAAACATCCCGTCGACAAAATCTACTCGTAAGCTCAGAATCGCTTCGAGTAATTTTGGGGGGGACTAGATGATATAGCCACACTGGCTCATAATGGTTCATATCATCATGGTCCGAAGCTATCGAGTCGACTTCAACTTAGTCGACTCCGCCAGTAAGGTTCCACGATACACAGTCAAGAATCCCGGCTCTCGACCGAGTCGACGTACACTCGTCGACTAGAATAAGTCGACCTCTGGCAAGACAACGGTCGGACGTATCAGGGTCCACTAACGGTTGAATATGATCCAGTCGACTCGACTCAATATCTCGGGTCGACTGAAGGAGTCTTGCGGTTCGTGGTTCTCGATAGCTTCGACACACCTCAGCGTATGGAGGAAGAGTTAAGGATAAGAAGGAAGCTAAGGAAGGATCTAGATGCTGACTAGGAAGTAGGCAGAATACGAACCGACCGGGGTATTCTGGACATTTCCAGTAAGTCGGCCGGGGCACTTTGGGGACTTCAGGTAAATATTGCACTTCTATATAAAGGACTGAGGTAATCCCAAAACCCTAACTCCCATTCATTCCATATTCTTTGATTACTGCTGCTGCTCTCATAGCAGCTCCCCCGATCTCTTTCATATACTGACTTGAGCGTCGGAGGCTCTACGCTGGAAACCCCTCCGGCGTTGAGTTCTTGCAGGTGTTCTTGCGGCTCAACAACGGTTCGAACGCCATCGCATCAGATCTAAGCTCATTCGCACCGGTTCATCCCAGATCCGGACGTTTTCCCATTGGACCGTTCCAGATCTGAGAAGAGACCCATCATTTTGATATAGCTAGTGTGGCTATATCAACTGCGATTGGGGTTTCGTTTATGTAGCGTTTCGTTATTTTTATATATTTTTATGGATTTTTCTGTAATTAATTAGTATTAGGAATAGAGGAAGAAGGTGAAGTTGATAGAGATAAAGATAGAGAGAGATAGATGAGAGGAGAGAGAAAATAAAAAAGAGAGAATGAAATTGTTGTAACTAATTGATTCCCCTCACACATTTTTCACCCACTTATAATCAAGTGGTCCCATAATTGGTTTTTTCTATTTTCACCAAATAAGTAAAAATAAACTTAATAAAATTAACAAGTGAAAAGTGCTATTTTGGATAACTGCATCACTGCCCACATGCTCTTCCGCAGGAGTTGCCACGTGTCCTTGCTCACTCAATTCAGAAGTCAAAGTCTCCCTTTTTTCTTCATTTTCGATTTCCCCTTTTTCCCAATTCCATTTTCCTCAAGAACCCTAATTTCCTTAAACACATTTTTCCCTTCAATTTCGAACTGGTCCACAACATTTCCCTCCGGATCAAGAGATCCTTGTCCGCAAGGATCAAAAGTTGGAAACTTGCGGTGGATAAAGTTTAAATCTTCCCAGGAAGAAGAGTTTCGGCCCGAGCCTGCCCACTGCACTAAGATTTGTTGTACTGTTTGTTGTCCACGTCGGACCTCGCGGCGATATAGCACAGACTGAGGTTCAATTTTGAAGTTGCCATCTTCATCGACTGAAGGCAGTTCGTTTTCAGGTAATCTATTTTCCCCAATGTGTTTCTTTAATAAGGAGACGTGGAATACTGGGTGGATCTTAGATCCTTCAGGTAGCCCCAATCGATAAGCCACTGCTCCACCTTTTCTAGGATACGATAAGGCCCATAAAACTTAGCAGTAAGTTTGAGGTTTTTGCGTAGAGAGACCGAATTTTGTCTATAGGGTTGCAATTTGAGAAAAACTAGGTCCCCAACCTCAAAGACCCTTTCTTGTCGTGTTTATCAGCGTATTGCTTCATTCTGTATTGGGCCTTGGTGAGATTATCTCTGATTTCCTGAAGCAATTGATACCTGTCCTGCATAAATTCCTTCACTTCAAAATTTTCAGCTCACAGATACTGGTCCAGGGTTAAGTTAGGGGGCTGATATCCATAGAGAGCCTTAAATGGTGTCATTTTAAGGTTATTCTGGTAATTAGTGTTGTACCAGTATTCTGCAAGTGGTAGCCATTTTGACCAACGCTTAGGGTGACTGTGGGTCATGCATCTGAGGTAACTCTCTAAGCATTGGTTGACTCTTTCTGTTTGGCCATCTGGTTGAGGATGGTAGGAAGAGCTCCCATAAGCTTGAATAACTCCTTCCAGGAGGTGCTAGTAAAGACCTTGTCTCTATCTGAGATTAAATTAACTGGCTGCCAATGTAATTTGTATATAAAATCCATGAATACTTTAGCCACAGATTGAGCAGTGAATGGGTGGGATAAAGCCAAGAAATGGGCATA